CTATAAAGTCTGATCACTTTTTCTGGTTGAAGGTTATGAAACTTCCATCTGGCCCTAGACAAGTTGATAAAACTCCATCTCAACGACTGCTTCAGGTCATTGGTATGCTTCTACAAATCCTTGTTAGGAAAATTAACGATACATGTACTTAATATGATTATTGAGCAACTGAAAAAACTCCTGAATAAGAATACCCAAACCAGCATCAAAGGGAAAAAAATATTGCAATTGGAATTTTCTGTTGTCCCAAAGTAATGCATGTTATATTTACTTAAGAATTAGCATCTGCTTTATCTGTCCATCCTGTGATTGAACATAGTTATGCTGTGCAACTGATTGCATTAAGTTACTGGTTTTGATCATGAACTGCAGGCAGAGATATGAGAATCATTGTCTTTGGATTTCGGCCTCGGACAAAACAGGTCAGCCATCCTGGATAGGCAGTTCATTTGTTTAATTTTTCTATACTTTGTGCTTATATATGCATCTTCTTCCTTTTGTTATTTTAGCCTTTTGTTTGATCTGGTGAAGATGGGCTTTGAGTAATTTCTGCTATCTTACAGTAGATTCTGTCGTACTTTGCTAGTTTGATTTGCTTGTGGACTGGATTTATCAAGATTTCAGAGAAATCATAGATATCTAGATAGTGTGGATATTTGGTATGGAAGTACTTTATGGTGGGAGAAGGAAGGAGATTCACTTAAAAAGCAGAGCATGTGAAAGAAGTTGGCTATTGTTCTCTATCTTCACAATAGAGAGCAGCCTTTGTTTTATATTTTGATATACTCGAATCGAGAGAACTTTTCCATGGTAGCAAACATGAACGGTATATCTAGTGCTATTCAATGACTGTAGATGTAAGATATTGTTTTACTGTGGGCACATTGGTAAGAAAACAAATTAACAGTAAAGAAAGGCCACAATTGCAGTTGAAATCCTTTGCATGTCACTGGGATCAAATTAGTGGGTTTCTGAAAGTCATTTACCATTTAATAAACATATACAGTATTATTAAAGAAGATACAAGTCTTTTGGAAGGGAAGTCAACTATAGGAACCTGTTTATCAGTAAGACAACTCTACAATGAATCTGACATTAATACCCTCATTTTAGAGTGTTACTTCCTAGACTAGATAAACATTGAAATATAGTTGTACACGCTAACTCATACATGGTAATTATATTTGTTTGATTGCTTTTAAAGCTCCACCTTGGTCCACCAAGGTAGATGCCGGTTGCATGTGCAATATCATTGTCCTTGATCTCCCTTTTCTTTTCTGGGTAAAAGTTCACTTTCTGTTACTTTAAACCGTATTGACAAAAGTTCAACATACGAATTACCATCTCAAAATTGTACTAGAAAGAGTTTTACAACTGATGATAGAATGAATCTATGATACCATAAAATTTTTAACAAGGTAAACTTAATGATGAAAATGGTGAGTTGCAGAGGCGTGCTGTATATGATGCCCTAATGAGGTGCGCTAGGCCAGCTAGAATTTGGGATCTCTATGCTTTTGCTGTTGGGCCTTCAAAATTCAGTAACACAAACCCTCAGGTTAGGCTATTGAATGAGTACTTCCGTCTTCTTGGACTAGGATCACATCATGCTACCACTAGAACAATCGAAGACGGCTCATTCACATTGTCCAATGAATGGTGGAGAATAAGCAGTGTTAACTCTAATTATGCAATGTGTCCGACCTATCCATTTGCGTTGCTTATTCCAAACTCCATGAGGTAAGATGCATTGCTCTCTTTTGTTCTTTTGTTCGTAATTCACAACAAGTGTAAAAAATCCTCTTATGTCGGTCTGCATCATGTCTTTGCCCGGCTTCTATTATCAGCGATGTAGAGATTCAGCAGGCCTGTACCTTCCGTGCACGTTGTAGGTTGCCTGCAATTTCCTGGTGTCATCCAGGTATATCCTAATTCACAAATGAATGTTTTATCTTGTTATGATTTAATCAGTCGGACTTTGGTGGGCTGTAGGAACTGGAGCTGTTCTTGCACGTTCTTCCCAGCCACTTGTTGGCCTCATGATGAATATGAGAAGGTGAGTATCGGATCATCAAAATCATGTGGATATTCTTGTATTTAAGTCGTGGTTGTGGCATAGATATCATTTGTTAAGAATAAAGATTTTGGGAGTTAAGGATTCAGTTCTCTTGTTTGTATAATGTCCTGAGATTTTGTCCTCTGTGCAGCAATGCTGATGAAAAGCTTGTCGCTTCTCTGTGGACTCAACTTGCTGGAATCAAGGAACGCAGGAGGTATTGCTAATTCATATTGAGTATTATATATGTCCTCTGTTTATATAGCTTACTTTTCTACCTTGTCCTGTTTATTGAGCAACCGACTCACGCAACAATTGCATATACGTAAAGTTCTGATGTTGACCCAAAATGTTTGAGCGTATATAAGAGGGAGTCATTATACTAAATCTGCATCTATTAGGAAGCTATACATTGCTGATGCAAGGCCTCGTAAAAATGCTCTCGCAAATGGAGCAATGGGTGGTGGATCAGAGTCGTCCGCCAATTATTCTCAGTCTGAGGTCTCTCCATCTTTCTATCATCCAGTCGCTTACCTGAATGTCACAACTACTACTGTTTTCTTTGCTATCTTTCGTTTATGCTAATTTGATTATATACTCTCTTCAGATAGTCTTCTTTGGGATAGACAATATACATGCTATGCGAGAGAGCCTTGTCCGACTTCGAGATTATGTGGACACTCATGGTGCCAATTCATCCGATGGAATGTCTTCATATTTGGTATGGTTATCAATATGTAGAAGCGGAGATCTTTCTGGTTACACACAATTACATTTCATTTGAATTGTATTACGAAATAATGAACAAAACTTGAGGGAGCATCTGCAGAAAAATGTGCTTTTAAGAAGTGATTTATTGTATTAGGAACAATAGTTTTTAACAAATAAAAATTATTGGTGATTGCAAATAGGATCTAGAAGCTAAAAGAAAAAAAGAACTGAAGCTGAAGTATTGGAAAGGAAAACATGTTGAAAAATAAGTTTGTTGGAGTAATATAAACATGTATTTGGTAAATGTACAGAGAAAGTGTAATGTTAGATGTTGATGTAATTAGAGTGTTGTAATATCACTTGTGAGTTGTCCCCCATGTTTCCTAGTTTAGAAGCCTAGTGGGCTACTCCTCTCATTACCAATTGGTTTTGAGATGGAATCTCATTAAGGTGACAACTAGATTCGCCATCTAATGGTGCGCTTCACCTTTGTGGACCTCACCCTTTCCCCCGGCTGTATAAAATTTAATATGGTATCAGATCTAGGACCCATGACCCATGATGATTTGATCACCAGGCGTCTTGGCCTATGAATGACTCACTAGTACTTGTGAGTAAGTAGTCTATTATAGGGCAATGGGCAGTTTATAAGCTTAGTGGGCTACTCCTATTATCAATCCGTTTTGAGATGGAACCTCACTAGGGTAGCAATTAGGCTCGCCTTGTAATGGTGTGCCTTAACTTGTGGGACTGCATCCCTTCCCCCAACTATAAAATCTAATATTGAGGATAATAAAAAAAATCATATTTACAAACTACGAAGATCATTTTCCAAGATCAGAGGTACCATTCCCCTTGTGAGGCAAACTTTGGGGAGCATATGTGGAAAAATGTGCTTGTTTAAGAAAGTGATTTGTTGTAGTAGAAACAAGAGTTCCTAAGAAAAACATTGTTAGCGGTTGCAAATAAAATCTTAAAGTTGGGAAAAAAATGCGTACTCAAGTTGAAGTGTTGGAAAGGAAAACAGGTTGAAAAATTATGCTATATATTGATTATATGAAGATGTTGAAGCGAAAGCAAAATATGGCCTATGGAAACAGTGCTTGCTTTTCAGTTAACTGCTGAGGCCAGGCAGATATTCGAAAGGCGACGCCATGGCGCGCGCCTCGGACGTGGTGAGGTGAGGCGAGGCGCTCGCCTCAGAAAGCCAAGGTGCTTGGTTAGGGTATATGAAAAATTAGCATTACAAACGTTGGGTTTCATATCTTATTTCACAAATTAAACATGTTTTCTCCAACGAAACCTTAGATAAATTTGTGACTTTCTTTACTGATTGAGACGACCATTTTCCGACGGGGTTTCCGGTGGTTTTTCGTGACACCGACCTCTTCAATAAGAGGTCGTTTGTCATCTTTCTTTCCTTTTTGGTTTTCTTCGTCGCCTTTTCTCTTCTAATATTTCCTTTTCTCTCATCTCTTTTCCCTTATTAATCCTCCAATTTGTCTTTTTTCCCTTTTATTTCTTCCAGAATCCATCCCTCTCTCGGCTCTTCTTTTTCTTTTTTATTTTATTATAATTTACTGCTGGTCAAAAAGTCTACCAGTCAAAATTGAAGGCAATCTTTCTTTTGTGAAAGAATTCGTGTTTGGACTGATATTTTGTTTTCAATTTCCAACTAAAGTATATTTAATCATGATTTGTGTATATAATTAGGTTTGCTATTGCCTCGCCTCGCTTTCATAAGGCAGGCTCCTCGCCTAACGCCATGGCAAATAGGAGGCTTGTCGCCTCGGCTTGCCGCGCGCCTTTTCAATCACTAGTATTTACATTCATTTGGTTATGCAAGTCTCCCTTTATGCAACTTCCATAAATAGTGTCTATTTCACATTTGCCTAATCAATTTTCACATTGGCTCGATTTACTCAACTTAATTCTTATACCTAATTTACTCAACTGTTCCGAAATCCTGTCTATTTCACCTCGTGCACCATGAGAATTTGTGGTTTTACTTTATGATCTATTTTATATTTTTAGGTTCATTATATCTACATAAAGGCTTCTAGGGTACAAGGATCAATAACGTAGATTTTTTCCTGTTTGGGTTGTATTATTACACATTTAAGAAAATGTTATCTACTTTTTGTTGTTTCCATGCTTTTGTTTCAAATGTTATGCTAAGTTGACAGATAATGCATTCCTCCAACTATTTGTAAATGACTGATTTGTCAACGTTGTTTGCAATTGTAGGAATGTATATTGTTTTTGGTATGTACTTGGTTGATGACCGTGTTTTTTAACTGATAGAGGCATGGAGGGTGGACGTGGGGAGGAGGTAATCTCAGCAGTATGTCTGCTTCAGTCTCAACTCTTGGGGACAGTGGTTGGCTGATACATGTCCAGAGTGTTTTGGCTGGTTCAGCATGGATTGCTGCTCGTGTTGCTCTGGAATCTGCCACAGTGCTTGTTCATTGTAGGTAAGGCATCTTGTGTATTACGCGTAAATTCACCTCATGTTTGTTGACAATAGAAGTTTTTTTTTATTAATAATGAATAGAAAATTCTTGGACCACCCATATGTTAGTGACTCATCAATTGATATCTTTTGCCATGATGATTTAATGCCAAGTTCCTTCAACGTTTTTGCATTTGAACTTCTTTTCCCAGTGACCAATTTTTAATTTGGTTTAGCGTTGGATAGAGGTTATTTCTTTTTGTGGTTATGATTGACTATTGCACATGAGTGTGTTCTAGTTCATGGTATGTTGATGGAGGCACGTCATTGGTTTGATAAAGAAATAAAGAAACGAGATATCAACAATACTTATTAGCAAGTTATGCTGGTTAATTTTGTGTTACTCTACATTTAAACCTTTAAACACCAGACAAAAGGGTGCAATAGTCAGGAGAAATGAGGTATAAGAATTATGTTTACCCTAGTGTTGATTAGCAAGAATGTTCTGGTTTTCAGGTATGAGAATATCTTTTTCCCTAATTGGTTGGAGTATTTACATTTTTTTGTTGCATCTGTCAACTTTGTTTACCTTCTGATATGTTGCATACAGATTTTTTGTCCCATACTCAAATGTTAAATAGCTCCAAGTTCTCAAATTATATCAATTTTATATATTTGTGTACCATTTTATCTCTTTTTTTTTGTTTGCTTATTCCGAGGAATGAAATTCTGCATATCTGCTGTCTGGATTGAGCAATTTGCACTTTGTGCACTTAATATATGAAAGAAGAGCAAGTGTTATTTGTATCTTTGATCTTTAGCGAAATCTTTTTTGTAGTGATGGATGGGATAGAACAACTCAGTTAGTGTCCCTTGCAAGTTTGTTGCTTGATCCATATTACCGGACAATCCAAGGTTTTCAGGTACTGCTCGATGCTTGATCTTCTTCATTTGGCCATTAGTTTGTTGTACCCTTGACTGTACTGTGGTAATTAATTTGTTTCCATTTTTGTTCTGAAATTCTTGTTATATGTTAATATGTAAATGAGTTACTCTTGTTGGATGAAGCAAAAGTTACCATTAGACTGCCAGTAGAAGTATTTATTATTGTTGTTCTCTACTGATATTTGAAACGAAGTTTTGCTTACATTTCCAGAAGATTAGCTTCAGTAACAAACTTTGATTGAGTCTTTGCTGTTAAAATACAGGCACTAGTAGAGAAGGATTGGCTTGCATTTGGGCATCCATTTTCAGATCGACTTGGAATGCCTACTGTATCAGGAAGTGATGGCCTTCCTGGTGAATTTGCACGACAAGCATCTACTGGGAGTATACCTTCATCACCATTGCGCCAATCATCTGGCGCATCCACACCTCATTCAACATCTTCGCATGCACAGAGCCAGTCCTCACCAATTTTTTTGCAGGTGCTTGTACTGGAACTAATCATCGCTGCTAGCTTCGATTATTTTCTTATCCACACATTTTGTAGTACTTGATCGTTTTGCATACTTAATTGTCTATATACAGAATGTTCTCTTTAGCTTGTCTTACAAGTGGTATTATCCTAGAGGACTCATTGAACTTGTTGGTATAACTGTTACATGTTAGAATGAGAGACATCAATTTGCCGTAAGCGTGGCAACTTGAGGCACAAAATGATTGATCAATATGGAAATGTCACATAAGTATAGGATTTTGGGTAGGGTTTACAGGTTTAGGGTGTTAACGAGCCGGCACTTTGAGGCACAGTAAGAATTAAGAAACAGGCTATTAACGGGCTAGCCTGATAGAGATTATTCTTTTGGACCTTTTTCATAGATATATTTACCGATACTTGTTATCCTTAAAGGGGTGTATTCATTTGGGATTTCTGAAGACTTTTTAAGACTTTCGAAATCCTGGTGTATTCAAGTGATTTGCTTCAATGCTTCTTTTGGGCCACTATTCCGATAAAAGCATCAACGCTTGTGATTAGCAGCTGCACTTAATTTATGGCAAATTAGGGGTGGCCAATTATTTGGGCCTAAAAAGTCTTTAGATTTCTTTATTGTATCTTCAGTTTTATATTATAGAAACCTCTTCTGGAATTCATCCCCATGCATTTCCTGACTGTTTGTAGTTGTTATTTCACTGAACAGGACACTGATTGTTTTCTTTTCGATTTTTAATTGTTCTTCAGTGGGTCGATTGTGTTTCACAACTTCTACGAATGTATCCATTTGCATTTGAGTTCTCCTCGGTACTGTACCTTTATCTGATTTGTCAAAACACGTCTAATTTGTTCTACAGATAACAATTTGATATTGTTTGATACTTATTGGCTGTGCAGGTCTTCCTGGTAGAGTTGGTGGATTGTGTGCTTTCCTGCCGTTTTGGGAATTTTCTCTGTAACAGGTATGAAGCTTTCTTTGCAAATTGAAAACTTAAAGCCATAATGGAGCCCGTATGCTGTCTTGCCTTTGAGAATGTTTATTGCACGTCTGTTGTAGTTGTACCCTTTTCTGTTCAAAGTGAACTTCCTTGGACAAAGAAAAAAAATGTAGGTTATAATTTCTTGAGCGCCACAGAATTATACATGGCCGAATCCCGATTTTGGGTTGCGTTTTTGGGGATCCTGAACCGGCCCGATTATATATACGGTCCGGTTCAATAAACTGCCGTTTCTGGGCCAGTTCAGAGCTGGACCAGTCTGGGCTTTTTTTTTTTTTTTTTTTTTTTTTTCNAATTCATATAAATCAGAATCACCAAAATCGAAAAGAAGAGAAGAATTACGTCCATGGTTTTCTTTAAACAAAGTAGAAGTACCTGTTCCAGTCGCGGATGAAGTGCTACTCGTCGGTTTGGGTCGTGGAAATCCAATGGATGATGTGTCCGTATATGCTATTGCATCGTTCTGTACTCGTTGTCGGTTTTGAAAGTGTACTTTTGGACGGACAATGGTTGTAAATACATATAAAATGTGTCACCTTTTTTCTCAATGGGCACCTTCGTGAAATGCGTTGTGAATATGTCGAATTTCAATCCTTGAATCCTCTCAGCGGCCGTCCGAGTCCGTTGAGACCTCCTCCACCACCTTTAGTAGGATCAAAATCATCTTCATACGACTCCTGTCCTCCTCGTTCTCGAACTGTGGATTTCATCGATTGAGTGAAAGACGCGGTTAGACCGTCTCGGGATCAAAATCATCAGAACATGCCGGTATATCGTCTGTGTTGGCGTCGGCTTCGGCTTCGGCAATGGAGGTCTACTCGAAGATGCGCCTACAGTTACGCTTTTGTGGCCGACCACCGGCACCACCACGAGCACTCTACATTTTATAACTTGAAGAATAAATAGATCCCATTGTTCTTTTGATCCCCAAAATCCCAGCTCTTCTGTCTCCCACCACTTTCCTGAACAGGCATCGTCCGCACTCCTCTTCACTTGCCTTTATATCATCTAGCTTGAGCTCAATTTCACCTGCTTCCTTCTCCGACAAAGATAATTGTTGGAGCTTTAGACATAACATCATCCCCAATCTTTTTGCTTTTACTCGTTTCCATCTCAATAGCTACTTACAACTTCCTTACTCACACTCCCAGAAGATACACAATGAAATGGATCTAAACCCTAACACCCACACTCAACAAAGACCTCCACAAAGGAATCGAAATCTCAGAAAGAGAATTTTTGAGCTCTCACCCGAGAGAATTAATACTTACATATTAACTAATGCATATAGTAAATAAATATTTAATTCAAATACATTATTAAATATTACAACTAATTATTTTCTTAAATATTACAACTAATTTACATAATAAAAAGAGGTGAAAATGATAGAAATTAAAAATGAGAGAGTATTATGTAGAGAATTTATAGAATCGAAACTTAAATGAGAGTGAATTTATGAAATTGGAGCCGAGTTTATATAGAACCGGACCGATTTTATAGAGCGGCGGGCACAAAAACTCAAAAATATCATTTGAAGGTATTAGTTTTGAAGGAAGAAAGTGAGAGATGGTTGAATATGTTGTGTAAAATCAGATTTTTTTTGGGGGTGTCCACAGATTTTTATTTTTATTTTTTGAATTTTTTCCACTTTTTCTTTTTGTAGGTTCATTGAACCTCCGGTTCATCGTCGGCCCGGCGGTTCATCAGGTTCAAACCAATCCTAGCCTTTAGATCTCCAACAGTCAGATTTAAATATTTGACTGTTGGCGGTTCTGGGCGGGCCGATTCAGACCCGGTACCGTATTTAATAAAAATAATATGTAAACGTTGGGTCTCCAACGATAAAAAAGATCCTACGGTCTAGATTTAATCTGACCGCCGGGTTGTCAACGGGTTTAGCCAGGAAATAAAAAAAAAAAAAATTCGCAAAGAAAAGGAAAAAAGAAAATTTCAGAGCCTCCCGGGCCGGTTCCAGGTCGACCCTGAACCGGAACTGAACCTGAACGGGCCTGGTAAAACCACGGGCCCGGTTATGGGCCGGTGCGAACCGTCCGTGGTATTTTCTACATAGAAAGTTATAAAGCACTATAGAAGATTAATAAATTTGGTGCCAAACAAATAACACAAAAGGTCCCAAAAGAAATATGCACCTCATTAAACATAGTGGCTGCTAGAGACTCGAGTCACACTCACACTCACACTCACACATCTTTGTGTTATAGATTTTTGGTTTCCATTAGACATAAAAACTCTCATTTTATCATCTTCTAGTATCATAAATAGGCGATGAGGTCAATATTCAATGCCAATGATAAACTGAATATTTTGATGGAAAATTTGGCTTCATACTGACCTCAAGCAGTTAGTTTCCTGTGGATTTGGGGCACCATCATTAAAGCTGCTTCATCTCAGTTCCACTTTAATACTCACTGATGTTGCTGTAGGAGACCAAAATTGGTTAATCTGGCCTAAAACATTGAAGTACTAGAGATTTTCTGTTGTTCAACAAACTATGTACCAATTATTAAACTCAAATTAAATGCCTTATCATATTGGTTACCCCTCTGAATCATGTGTAATTGTTTTCTCAAATTTCAGTGAGAGAGAAAGGCAGCAAGCTGGTGTTTATGATGCGTGCGGGTGCTTGTGGATGTATTTAGCTGATCTGCGGACTTCAGATGGGAGATCACATATACATTATAACCACTTTTACGACCCATCGAAATTTCAAGGTCCATTACTACCTCCAGCGGCAGCTTTAGCTCCAACACTTTGGCCTCAGTTCCACCTTCGATGGTCTTGCCCATCAGAAGCCCAAGCTGGGGAGATTGAAGTACACTGCAGGAGCATGACTAAGAAAATCTGTGAATTGCAGAAGGTAATAAAATGTTTTTCTGATCAAGCATACTTAATTCAGTAATGGCGTGCTTGTTTACAAATAAATCCGCTCGACATGAGTTTTTTCGATTAACCAGGGTTAATTTTGAAAAAGTTGGATGGTTAATTGTTAGTGGGAGTGAAATGATGTGAAGTGATAGTTAGTTAAAATTATGTGAGTGGATTAATAGTGAATTAAAGTTGATGTGATATGTAAGAATGATTGGTTTGTATTATTTAATATATTGATAATATTGAGGATAGTGGAGGTGACTTAAAGTTGAGTTAGATTTTGAGTATGAATTGAATGTGAATGAATTATTTTGTAAACAAACATGCTCTAAGGGTTTATCATTTATGTGGAAATTTGGCACTCTTGTTCTTTCCTTTTCTTCGTTCTTTCTTTTCTTTTCTCTTTCTTTTTTCCTTTTTCTTTTTTTGTGCACAGAAGTTCCGGAAAACTAATGTAATGCAACCTAGTCAATTTTTTAACGACCATCCACAGTTTTATGATAACGATATATTATTATAAACTTTTCAGGCTAAAGAGTTGGCGGAGGCAAAAGTTAAAGAAACAGAAGCCACTGTAGAGTCCTTGTCAGTGGAGCTGCGAAATGAGAAGCTCAGCAACAGCTCAGCAAGGGATTGGGTGAGGATAACCAAACGAGAAACAGCCGCCATAAAGCGGGCCGTGCAATCTTTGGGCTGCAAAGTTCACTTCTCTGAGGATGGAGATTGCATTGTCAGCATCGAAAACAATGCTACAGAGATTCCTCATAAACCACTCTTTTCGGTGTCTGAGATGCAGTCGGGTGGTTATTTTCAGCACGACGAGCAGTCAGATAATAATACCGTGTCTGGTTTTGCTCAGACGCCACGTGATGATGTGGATGATGATGATTCGGGAAGTCCAATGAATAGTGTCTGTGAGTCTTTGTGCCCATTACGTACGAGGGATGGAGGGTGTAGATGGCCGCATGCTGGTTGTGCTCAGTTTGGAAGTCAGTTTATCGGTTTGAAGGCAAATTTTGACGCATTTGACCGGCTTTCTATATACGATAGCTATTTTGAGCCGCAATAAAGGATTATGGACCGAGGCTGAAATGCAGCATGACCCTTTTCCCTATAATATCTAACTGATAACTGTTCCATTGGAGCTGGAAAAAAATTTGTCCGTGATTTTTTTTTTCTTTTAACACAGATTTCTTGAATATTGGAGTTATAGCAGGTACCTTATAGAGAATGAAGAAATAAAAACATAACTGAAGAACGCCAGGTCCTGATGTTAGATGTGGGTCTTGGGAGTGTATATACCTGAACATCTCCAGAGATAAATTAGTTCATTGTATTAAATAAATCACTTGGTGTTTGGCTGAGATGATCTGAAGCCTCAAGGCATTTGGATTTTGCTGCTGTGAGCTGCCATTCATTTGCTCACACAAGTAGGTAGTGACATTGTATATATTCTTAATTTGTTAATGTTCTGGTAAATGCTGTAAGTAACCTTCATTATTGTACTCGTCTCAGTTATCTAATAAATTAAAATTTTGGATTGGTTTTTGTGTTCTATGATCTCTGTTATAAATGGTTTTGTTGATTATGAAGGTTCGGATGGCAGGAGATGAGAATTAAGATGGTATAGAAGTCTGAGCTGGGGATATTATGTTTCAAGTGTCGCTATAGATATTATATGCTTCAATAATAGTCCCAATTTTTGGACTTAAGAGTCCTTTATATATTGCAATGATAAACTGGTATTTTGCCTTTGTGTTACAGGGCGATCAAGTAATTCATTCAAGTAAAATTGGTTTTGGATTGATTTTACCTAGGTTTCTGTAAATGGATGTATGTTTCTGTACTTTTCTAGCAGAAAAATTTATTGCAAGCTTTCAAAAATTTCAAACTCGGGTGGTTGATAACTTAATGTAAACTTGGAAATGTAGTAGTTCAAGGTTAATGACAATCCGAACTTACCAAAAAACAAACTTCTCTCTCTAGTTTTTTTAAAGAAAAACAGAAAAAGAAACCTACTATGAAAATCGAAGCTGGGAAAGCAAAGCACCCAAATCTCACGCAAGACAAGGTCTCAAAGCGTTTCCACAAATATGGGAATCGTAAATCTTTTAGAGCCGTGGATTCTTCAAGCAACAAAGAAGGTGGAGATTGAAAGTGGGGGAAAATTTGTTTCTTGTGTAAAATAACACAATTCCAACAGTTAAATAGCCCAGCAAAATTTACTTATCTATACTTAAAACTTGCTACAAGCCTGCTGCATCAATACAGCACAACTCAAGCCAGTAGTAGTAGCTCATGCCAGTGACCAACCAACAGTTACCGAAAATTCAGACACTCAAAGTATGCGTGTGTCCGGANGTACCTACCAATCACAAGAGTAACAACTCAACAAAGTCATGGCAAGTAACGAAAATATAGAAATAAAAATTTAAGAAATTAGGAACCACGAATGAGCTTATTATCTGCAGTTGACATAATAAAACCTTGATGTTTCTCATTTATGAAGTGAGAAACATTTCTCTTTTTGAGACAGTGCACAATAATTATAAGTAACAAAAACTTCCCATTTCATGGAATGATAAAAGGCTTAATCATTGGCTGGTGGAGGATTGTTATCTGACTTTTTCTGTCCCTTCCCTTCATTCCATCTCATCCATGCCCACCTCAAAACGTAAAACCCCCCTATAGCGTATACCTGTGTCCAGACAAAAATACAAGTGGGGGAATAAAAAGGAGCAGAGTAAATCACCCTTATAGCATACATGCTTGCAAACTCTCAAAAGTTCTCATCTTTCATATTTCTCCAAAATATCAACTGCGCAACTCTCATGAATCAGCATTGGGCTTCTCAATTTTCTTAAATATGTGAAAAGAATGTTTGCAAAGTCGGATAACAAATTGCCCACTAAAGAATATCCACGGAGTCTAATAACAAATTATCACAAGAGGACGTTCCTGATATTTTATCAAGTAAAACCTGCCGATGTGGAATAACTAATAAATTCCCTCACTCTTCTTTGGCAATTCATTCCCACAATTTTCTTATAGGTTTACATGTTATAACCTTTTCTTCGGATCGGAGGCACTTATATTCTTTACAAATGCCTCTTTATATAAAGAAAGTTAACATGACAATGACAAAAGTAAATTGAACTAGACCACTAATGATGTTGTAAGTCATTTTTGTGCAATGGCTCTATAGGTGTGTGGCTTTCTATGCTTTTCTTGCTTTAATTTCGATAACTCACCCTGCATGAAAATGGACAAGGCTTGGAGCCACACGAAAAAGTAAGTGCTGCTTAACTCACAATGAACCCTTTTTTTGTTTCAAATATAACAAATGAGCAAATCCACAAATACCAATGGAATCAATCACAAACTAAATCCACTCAAGAGTCCAGCCAAAAGGACTAACCATATTGATGGCGACGACACCGCGATGGCATTTCTAGATAAATATGATCATCTCCGTATTTAGCTTTATCAATTATAGTCTTTTATTATTATTTCCTTATTTCCTTATTTCTAGTTGGAAGGAAAATATTATTATTTCCTAATTCCCTTATTTCTAGCTGGTAGGAGAATATTTATTTATTTAGTATTTTCTTGTTTAGCTAGTTAGGGTTTTTAGTTTTGAGAGTTTTATATAACGGACTCTCCTGCTTTATTCTTACTTGGTGAATTGATAATAAGAATTGATTGATTTTGTGAGTTTTATCGAGAGAGTATCTCGTTTATCCTTCTCATTCATACACTTCCCTACATCACATATACACCATTAGGGTTTTAGGACAAACTATTAGTAATCCATGTGAGACTTTTTTATCTTCTGCTCAGAATGTAACTCATTCCATATAAAAAAAGGGTAATGCAAGAAAGGATTTACATATCATTATCGTTCAACTAAAACACCACAGAATGCAATAGACTATTGTAAATCGAACTAATATTTATTTAAACGCAGTTGATGTACAAACGCAGTAACACAACACCACATGATTAAATTGAGTTAAAACTACACTTAATTCGTTTTGTAATGAAATTAGATGAGGCGAAAACACAAACTCAAGCACAATTATGCACCAACAAAAATTAAAAAAACAAACAAAAAAGCTAAAAATAACTTGAATACCTGCCACAGAAATAGGGGATTAGTACTCCTGTCGGATACCTCAGTCTCGACCTCCAGCTTCAAAGAAGTAAAGCTTTGTCTGGGGAAAGTGACAATAGCGGGCTTATCGCTCTCGTTTCCCACCTCGGCCATGGTCGGCCGCTCGGTTTGAGAAGAACCGGCGCCTTGCTCCAAGGAGGTGGCGCCGCTGCTGCCGCCATTCTTTTTCTTCAGTGGGAAGGGAAGTTTAAGGTTCGAGAGAAGAAGCAATATGGGGTTCTTTTCCTGCTCTTCAATATGCACAGCGTTTTTCGCCTCTTCCAGTTCCATTTTTGGTCTCTAATTTGCTTTTTTCCGTCGGCTGAGGCTCTGAATTTGTTTGTAGGTTGTGTTTTGGCGTTTTGGTTGGGTAATACAACTCAATTAGAGTAATGTTTTATGGAATCAACTAATTTAAAATCTAACTCAACTCTCTCTAGTACTATTTATAAATATAATTAAATAATACTACTTCCTATTCATAATAACTGTTGTTTTGAGAAGTTGCACAGTAAAAAATCTATTTTTTGCTAATAATTACCTTCATTAATGAAGATAAAGATGAATCTATATCTATACTTATATAAAAAACCATCATATTTATTAGAAATAGTAGACAGAAAAGTTAAAAGTAATTAATGCTTGCTGAAAATAGAATAAAATTAATTACAGATTTGTTTTGGTATTTATATGCTTGACATTAAAGATTTTTTATGGGATAAAAATAAGAACCGATTTTTTTACCTTTGCTAGAAAAGTCAAAAGTAAGTATAGATTTGTTTTATCCCATAAAACTTTCAATTGATCCATTTTTGTTAGTATTTTCCCTTATGTTATACACTCTTATTTATGTATTTTGATTAATTGAAACTGGTGATTCCTCACTTTTAAAATACTTATAATTATTTATTTGACTAAATACTAATATCATAAATTTTTATAATTAAACATGATTAATTATACATAATAATAATATAGTATAAGATATAATTTAAAGCTTTTTTTTTAATACAGCGATAGACGAAAAATAGATTATAACTCTAATGTTTTCTAAACTTAACGCTCATTAAAAGAGAGGTGGAAAATAGATGATAATCTTATTACTTTTTAGACTTAAACTCATGAAGTTTGTGAAAATAACTCATTAAATATTTCTGTCTCATGCATCGCACGGGGTATGTACTAGTGTTTTGAGAAAAGATGAAGAATGAATATGAGAAGACGTAGTGTATTTATTAACTAAATGAAGGTAATAATAAAAAATATGTACAAAATATCCAAAACATCATTTATTTGATTAATGGTTAATAAGCTAAAATGACATTTAAAAAGAACATTAGGTAGTATCAATCAATTAAGTTTCTCTATGAAGCACTCCATTATTTTTCTTATGGAGCTATCCGCCTACATGGCTCCTATGTGGAACAAACATGTGTATTAAAATACTTGACATGTATTATTTATTTTTATTTTACACAGATAAAGAAAATAAAATAAAATAAAATAAAAAGGAATGAATTCCCGTAACCGCAATCCCAAAAAAAATCCCATGTTCTTCTTTTTCTCACTCCGTCACCCGCAATCGATACGAACATAATTCAAGAATTACATCTCATCATTTATAAGACGACATGAAAAAGAAAGGAATGAATTTACGTAACCCGCAGTCCTAAAATCCCTAAAATCGATTGACTGGGCAAAATCTGAAATCCCTAAATCCGATTGATAATGAGACAAATTCTGTTGGCGTCGTTGCCTTCGCCTTCCTAACAGCCATCTGCTGCGGCGGTGCAGACGACGAGGCCTCTTGATAGGCCAGGCCGTGGTCGGAGTGGCGGAGGTCCTATCTGCCGCAGCAGAACGGTCGTCGCGTTTGCCTTCTTAGCAGCCATCTGCGGCAGACAGAACCTCCACCACTCCGACCACGACCTGGCCTACTAGGAGGCCTTGCCGTCACGCCGCCGTAGCAAAACGGCGACGCACTAGGAACTCTGTCGTTCTTCGGCATGATGACACCTTCCGTGAGAGAGCTCGTGCGGAGGACCCGGCACCTTCGGCGAGGAGCGCGGTGCTGGGACATACCACGTGCGTGGTGACGGACTGAGATGAAGAAGAACAAGATTTGGAGATTCCACTTTCACCAAGGACATGCTTATTGAAAGGGAAAACTAAAAATAAAACCAAAATTTCAATCTAGGCCGTGGCGAAATGAGTTTTTTCGATTAACTAGTATTAACTTTGAAAAAGTTAGATGATTAGTTAGTGAAATTTTGATTTTATTTTAAAATAAAATAATTGAATTTGATTTAATGTAAAAGTATGAGAGAAATCATGTGAAGTTGAGTTCAAGTTATGTTAGACTTTGAGTATGGATTGAATGTGAATGAATTATTTTGTAAACAAACATGCAGGGGGCTTCAGTGTACTATTTTACTAAGGAACGGTGTTCTGTTTTCGGAAGTTCCATTCGGCATTCAACCAAACCAACCATTTGCTCACTTTTATCCACAAGACATAGAATTCATGTGAAAGGGCAGTAAACTGGAAATGAATCAATGCAGTTTAAAGCATACAATTTTTTCACTTGTGTAATTAATTGTAGTAGATTATGATTCAGAAGCCTGCAATTCAAGTATATCCTAGAAAGAAGACCTCTACAAATAACAAGCGCATCATTGGACTTACCTATCATACCAACTCGGTNTTAACCTTGTGAAAAGCGATCATATCCCTGTCAGCTAATCTTATCCCATCCATGAGCCCAATGAGCCATAAGTAGAGTATTAGATAGATAAATTTTAATCAAATGAAGTGACAGAAAGTGCAACTCTAAGATCATTTGAAGTTCCACATACATACATCCTGTGTGTTTCGATTTCCTGCTGATGAAGCTTACGGGTAGAAGCAGCATAGTAGCTCTCACTCACACGATCACGTTTGGAAAATATTATCTCCCTTAGAATGGGTTCGTGCCCATTTAGAAGATTTCCCATGCTCAACACTTTCCTCCACGACTGGTTTGCCGTTGGCTGAGTAAACATGCTCATGATTAGGTTTCTGTCCCGGGAACTTACACGTTGCTTTTTGTCAAATTCCTAACACAAATAAAAATGACCAGGTTATAAAAGAATGATATACGGGCATATAATGCAACACATTTTTCCCCTAGGATAAACAACTTGTTGAAAAAGATAATGTAGAAAAAAGTAAATGGCTTTTATGTGTACGGCTGTTCCTCCCGGTAACACTAAACAACCATTACACTTCAAAATCCTATGCTGTGAAATTGTCTAGTAGAAAAAATATGATGAAAATTCAAGTAAGAATTTACATCAATATAGAATGTCAATTGAGATGTTTCTTGGCGGAGCTTTGTTTGAACATTTTACAGTCTCCTTTCTCAAATTAGATGTTGTTTATAGCTAATAGTGTTACGTATTCACTTAAAAATAAGTTGTTAAAACTGTGGGGAAAAATTGTGCACATAAAAGATGATAATAGTGACAATTATGTAACGAAATGATGAGATATGTGATCCAACTGCAAAAAAGTAAAAAAAAATAAAAAAAATAGTGAGAGTTCTGTAGCTACAATTGTGCTGGTTCATCTTCAGCTTAATGAGTTTTCAATATTCCATTTTTCTTCTCACTTCTCAGCAGACAAATGGCCTCTTCTTCTGGTAGTTCTACCACCAGAGATACAATCATGTATCATTTTTTCCTTTCTTCTTGCCACATATCTCACAATGGACATTGTGATGCTCTTATAAGACTATATTTATAAGTGCTTCAAAAAGCACTCAAACTCAAAAGATCTTATAAACTCCTCTAATATATACTAACAAGAAAATGCAGACAAAAATTTCCCCAGTGAAAGCTTACCGTTTTGGTATCACCTTGTGCAGAGCCTGTTCCCATGTTCGTCAGATTATAGCAATCACTGAAAATTGCCTGGGCAAGATTTCGTGAGTGCAAAAATTTGCTATGAAGAGAAGCAGCAAGTAGAATTAATTTCTCAATGTGTCCGAAAGTGGCACACAGTCGTCTCAGGTCTTCAATATCATCGTTATCACAGGTCATCTTATTTGCTGTAAATAGTAACTACCAAGAGTTATGAAATTCGTATGAGCTTTAACTCCGTGATAAATCAGAAAATTCAGAGATATTATTTACCTTGCAGATATTTTAGCATTGATGCCATAGTGGCATAATATTGCCCCATTTTTGTGGTCATCTGCTGTAATTCACCGAATGAAGTCTGATTAAGAGTGTCTGCTGCTGCTCTGAAGGCAGTACAAACCATTTGTTCGAGTAGTAGATAGGGTTTAAGCGTTTCCAGATAATGAAGAACCTGATTCAATATGACAATATAACGTAGAAGTAAACATATGTCACAAGCTTATGATCAAGGACAACTGGACAAACATAATAAAATACATTGATGGCTTGAGAAAGATTAACTACGGCTTTGACAAACATACAAGCAGAGGAAGACAAAATAACCAGAGAAGTTTACTTATCGGAGCTTTTTGCTTTTTTTTTTTTAA